TCTCTCTCTCTCTCTCTCTCTCTCTCTCTCTCTCTCTCTCTCTGTGTGTTACATGCTGCACCTGCAACAGGCTGCACGGGCCATTTTTCAGGCCCGTGTTGTTTTCAGGCCAAAAGCCTGAAAACAAGGGCCCACAGGCCCCATGTCGTTTCAGCCTGAAAGCATGAAAACAAGGGCCTACAGGCCCTGTGTCGTTTCAGGCTAAATCAGGGCCTTTCCGGCCCTGAGTGTTTTCAGCCTGAAACTGAGGGCCATTTCCGGGCCCTCATAAGACCGACCTGCCCTGAAACTCAGGCACCAGACCAGGGTTTTAGCTCAGGCCATTTCTGGCCTATTTTCAAAACAACCTTTGTTTGAGCTTCAACCCCAGGGTCTGGCACGTTGAGGCATTGGCAAGAGCAACCTCCTGGACGGGCCAGCACTATATAGGACTGGCCCGCCCTGCAGGTCGGCAGGTAGTTCCTAGGTACTTCCCAGGCACTTCACGTGCAGTTAGGAGGCAGGGGGTAGTCTTCAGAATTCGGCAGCAGCACTCTGGAGGAGCGTTGCAGGAGTAGTAGCAGCGTTAGCAGTAGTCTTCAGCACTGGGCGCTAGTAGCGTTAGCTGTAGTCTTCAGCGCTGGGCGCCATAGCAGCTAGAGTAGTACTAGAGAGAGAGAGAGATTGGGCGAACCTGCCGTTGCTCCAGCTTCGTCTTCGAGGTACCTGCAGCACAGCGCCGTCTTCACAGGTTAGTACCTGGCATATGAGAGAGAGAGTTGTTCTTCTTCCTCTTCTCAGTCCACCATCTCCTTCTCGCCCTCTCGCTATCTGACTTCACTGCATCAGCAGACTCCGAGAGAGAGAGAGAGGGAGAGAGCTTGGTGACATTTGGATCCAGACTCGACATTTGGATTTCAGACATTTTGAAGAGGGATTATTTGGGACTTGTAACGAGACTTGGTGTTGACGACTTTCCCATCTCCCCCTTCCGCTTCTTCGTCTGATCCCCTCCTCTTCGTCTGTGTATGTCTGGACCTGGCGCCTCCCTCCGGTGTATAGCGCCAGGCCCCATCACACCTTGTGATGAGCATGATGTCAGGTCAGGACTTGTATCTAAAGTCTTCCCTGCGCAATAAAGCACCATTTTGTATGTATCGGAATGCACATTGCTTGTTGAGATTCCACTTGCACTTCATTGTCCACTCAGTCCTTTTTATCACATTGCGGATCCTCAGTTATTATGTACATCGCCCAACTAGGTATGTAACAGTTGGTATGGGAACACCGCACGTGAATCAGGACAACCTGATCTGACACGTGTGCGGGGACTAGGTAGCTGATTAGTCTTGATTGATTGATTAGAGCACACTAGTTAGCCCCCAAAATCACGATTTTGACCTCGCTGCCGAAAATCGAATTTTTTTTCTTTTCTTGGACTTTGTTTTCTCGCTATTTCTGTTGTGGAAAATCGCAATAGCTCAACATCTGAAATTTCTGTTTTCGTTTTTCTTCTGAAAATTCGACATTTCGTTGTTGAAAATCCGGAATATCTTTCTTTTCGAAAATTCCGATTCCCTGTTGCATTTCCTGTTATTTGGAAATTCGGAATATTTTTTTTCCGAAATTCGTTTTTCTGAAAACAGTACGGGAAATCCTTCTTGCAGTACCATTTTGTTTTTCAAACTGCGAATACGCTCATCTGAGTAAGTCCGAATACTGATTACTTCTTTTCGGAATTTTTTTTATTCGCAATTCCATGATTTTCACTACCTGATATCAATGGCAGTCTGAAGTTCAAATTTTTTTTTCTCATTGATAATTTCGCACTCCAAGGGAGGTTGGGAGACCTACTGAACTTGCAAAACTCGGGATTTTTATTTTCTCGAAATTTTTTTTTGCAAAGTTCAAACTTTTCTTTTTGATTAGTGGCTCCTTATCTGGGCGTTATCTGGGCGATTATCCCACCCACCCCTCCCCACCTATGTGGTTGCCCCCTCTCGTCTTACCTTCTCTATTTGTCTCCGGGTACCCCCTGCGGTGGCATTGGCGAGTTGCCACGTCAGCAGACCACGTCAGCAGGCCACGTCAGTAGATCATGTCAACATGCCATGTCAGCCGACAACAGTGCCACATCAGCAGCAGGGAGTACCACGTCAGCAGGCCCCCGGCCTGGTCTATGCTTTTGCATTCACAAACAGCCATCATGGACCAGAAGTTTGGGAAACCCTGGATGCTGCTTCTGATTGCCGAAGCTAAGCAATGGTCGGATGCAGTAGCAGCCGCAACACAGAAGAAGGCAGAGGACGCCAAGAAGGCACGTCTGCTGGCAATTGAACAGCAGTGCCAGCATGACAAGGCAGCAGCAAAGGCTGCCGATGAAGAACGAGTTCAACGTCGTGAGAAGATATTCAGCGGAGAGAAAGCTTTGCTCACAATGGCAGCGGATTGGCGGGCGGAGGCCGAGAATGGCAAGATGGAAGACAATGAGAACAAGATCGCTCTACTCCTCTCCCATCTCACGGACCTCCTGGCAACATGCATTACACAACAGGAGGACATCCACAGCCTCGACAACGCGTTGACTCTAGTCCACGACCGCCTCCGGCAGCTGGAGCAGCGACCTGTCGCCGCCCCCGATGCCAGCTCTTCCAACACCTCCGATCCCCTTGAGGCATTGGAGATGGACGTCGGATCCCTCAAGTACGGCGTGCAGTTACAGCAAACCGCAAAGCAACAGTTGGAGCAGCGGATCTGTACTGTCGCCAACAACTCGAGCTCGGAACCGTGCGAGACAGCTCCAAAGTTTGATGGGCAGGAGATCTTCTGCGACTCGACGAAGACAAATCCGATTCCATGGTTCCGCAAGTTCGAGCTCACGTTGCAGCTACACTACGTCAAAGAACACAAGCACCACGCGTACTTATACTCCCGGTCCGGGGGTGCGTGCCAAGCATGGTTGGACAATCTCTTGTCCAAGTACGGAGTGGTAGCTGCCGACTTGCATACCAAGATCAGCTGGGATGATCTGAAGGCGGCGTGGCATAAGCGGTTCCAAGTAGGGCCGCCGGAGATCAAGGCAATGGACAAGCTGATGGTCTTTGAACAAGCCAGTGTCGTCAGATACTAGACCAATTTACCATCCAGCAGTTGGAAGAAATAGCTCAGCGAAAAGATGGTACGCCAGAAGTGAAAGTGGAAAGCATTGAAGAGAACATACAACAGTTAAAGGAGACACTCGCGAAAGAAGAAAAGAAGCGAGAAGAACTGTTGCAAATGAAAGAACAGGAAACTAGGCTACARCAGAGAATGGGTAAAGTTCAGCAGCACGTTTCTTTGGATGAGAAGGATGTCGCCCAGACGCTGGGGAAAATA